ATAAGATAAAAAATAAAAATAAAATAAAATATATAAAAATTTACATGGTTTATTTAATTAGGTTACGTTTATAGACAAAAATAAAAGAATTTTATCAAGTAATATGAAAATTACAATATTTCTCTACTAATAAAAGAATAATTAAAATCTTTTTAATAATAAAAGAAAACACTTCACTTACTCTCTTATATATACCTCACAATTTTATGGGATTATTTTCCTTCTATCACTTACTTTTTTTCTCTTATTTCTCTCTTGTGTTGTGTACAATATAGTAAGGATTCACTATCTATTTATAAACAAGCATCTTTATCCTTGTCTTGTAAAAAACAAAAGTAAGGCAAGTGACATTGAATTGGTGCCTATTTTGTTGACTTATCTAACGGTGCCAGCTAGCTTTACATACCAGATATTAGAAAATGTTTTCTTCTTGTTCATCCAGGTTCAAATTTAATAAATATGCTGAAAAATAAAGGTGTATTTTGTTTGTATGGCTCTTTTTTGTTTTTTTTTTTTATTTTAAATTTAATTTTGTTTGGTGTTTCAGTATTGTTTTAATATGTTTATGCCAAAAATAAATTTTTTAAAATATAAAAACCATTATTTTAATGAATTTTTAAATACTAAATTTGAAGAGTAAATCTAATCTCGATCAAAAAACAAATATGATAAGAAAATAAAATAACTTTCCACTGTACAAATTAATATGTCGCTTGAAACAGCACATTTTGGAATGGTTTTTTTCTTTTTTCTTTTTTGTGTTTCTATAGTTTTTTCAATGTAAAATATCTATAATTGAAATTGATTTTTTTTTATTTCTTTTGCTTACACCTCGACAACCAGTTGTTTGAGAATAAAAAAAAGGAAACGAGAAATGTCATCCAATAATAAATAAAAAATTGAATAATAAAAAAAATTATTGATTATTCAAATAGTTACTTATAAAAGAGAAATATACTCATAAGGATACAAGGAAAGCGAATTAGGAGAGATAGAAATATAAAAAAACCGAGCTTTGATAAAAATTGTTCTTATAAGACAATTCTTTTTTTCCCCTTAAAATGGTTCAATGGGTCGAATATTAATAATCATTACTTAAATACTCTAAGATTTCTCCCATTAATCAAGCTAATTGTTAGTTAATCAAACATTGTGATGAGTCAAAATATCTGGTTAAGATTTTTTCAAATAAAAAAAAAATGAATCATATAAAATGAATAAAAATTTGAACCTGATATAGTCAAGTCCAAAATAGCCTGCCCAGAAGATTTGAGCTTGGAGGTCAATTAGACTTAAGATAGAAGAGTGAGTCTAGAGAATTGAATCCACCATAATTCAGCATTTTTTCAAAAATAATTTAAAATAAAATTATATGGTAAAATTAATATTCTTAGTTCTTTAATATATCGAGATGCCTACAATTAAAATTTCTAGATGTTTAGGAATCTCTCAATCTTCAAAGCCCAATGGTGCAATATTTTGAGAAGCAATCAATGAACAACAAAATAAGTGCTATGCAGCATGGGCTTTACTCTAATAGATTATAGTGTAAGAGGCTCATATCCATCCCAGCCCAGGTAACAGATTAACGTGACTGTGATAAAGCCCAATATAAGCCCATTACCACCTTGATCCTTAAACTTTACATTTGTCGTTGTCCGTACTAACTCCAACTCCTATGCCCAGCTTCCCCGCGACAAAAACTGACCTGGTACTTCAAATTACACCCGATATTTCACAATCCGCTATGGAGGTATACCAGGTAAAAATACCGGCACGCTTTCCTCTACAAGCCGGTTGTTTTCCTTCAAACTCAAAAAAAGCGTCAACGTTTTTGCCTCGTGTAGCTGCTTTTACAACCAGTTCACATTCCCTAACCGATAAATCGGAATCCGAATCTCAGAATCGGATGTTCATTCTCGGGATGGGATTTGTGTGTCAATTCTTTGCACAGTCGCTTCATAAAGAAGGCTGGTAACTCCTAATTCTCCGAGTTTTGAAGCACGTTGATTTTTTATTAAATCACTTAACAAAAACGTTGTCGTATTGGATATTTTCTCAGGGTAGTTACTGGAACTTGCACGAACAAAACGAAGAAGAAACAACTTGAGGAGAAGGGATTTCATGTTCACCTTCTTGATGCAAATAAGCCAGAGTGTGTTTTTGCTTTATTTTTTATTTTCTTTATTTTTTTGTTGACTTTTATTTAAAATGAAGTACTTAGAGAAAAAAACCTATTAATTTTATTTTTTTACTGCTGGGATTATTGATTTCTTGTGTGAAGATTTCTTGTCATTAATTAGTTGTCTAAGTTATTGTGTGAAATTTTTATTAATGTTGATAGATGTATCTTGCTTCAAAAGTTGTTGAAATTTTGCTCTTCATTATTTATTTATTTATTTTCAGATTGAGCACTCTAAATGCTTTGAAATGTTACACGCACCTCCTGGTCTCAATCCCTCCTGTTGGGTGCGCGGGTGATCCGGTATGTGAACTGCCTTGTTGAATTCCATGTTGGATATTGTTTGAATGCTCCCTAAACATGGAACTTTTGATTCTATGCTATTGATTTCTTGTCATTGTTAAGATGCTTCAGCATGCAGAACTTCTAAGAAGTACGCTGTTGGACGGAAATCTTCAATGGCTTTGTTACTTGTCATCTACCAGTATGTATTTTGGTATTATAATTCATAAATGGATGTATGGATGAAAGTCAAATGCTTGTTTGTGTTCTTTTACTTGCATATATATATATATATATGTGAATATATATTCCAGCATTGAATATTTTGAGAACTTTATCATCTTTTTTTTTTTTATAGATCGAGTGTGGTAAGTGAACATAAGTTTTGTTTTGATTCAAACTATGTATTTTCTCAATGTTATGGTGGATATGAGAACAATTTGTGTTTTTGGAGGTTATACTGAATCAGAGCCGGTAAATAAACCAATTATACTAGTTCAATCATCCAGTGCTTAGCCAAATTCAAAGAAACTCAAAATCCAACTTTATAGCAAGTTGATATATATAATAATCTTCCTTTAACATTAGATGCAAAGGCGGCAGCATTTCAACAAATGGTTGTTTCATTCATCATGTTTCCAAGGAAATAGAGATTTAGGGAGATTTACTGCTGAAAGGCTGCATTATATATGCTTAAATCTCTTAATGAATTGTTAGGCAGAAGACAAAGACTTGGGTTTTTAATTCCCATCATCTGAATTTTTTGGCACGTTCCAACATCTTCCATCCTTGCAAAATAGTTGGGTTTGACTTAATGATACTTCATTTTGCTCGCAGGTGTATATGGTCATTGTGATGGTGCTTGGGTGGATGAGGAGTAAGCAGAGGACCCTTATGCATGCATTGCTGTGTAAGACATATAACTTGCATGCCACTAATTACTTGCATTATCATGTGGCAGTTATCCAACCAGCCCTACAAGTGAGCTAGCTAAATTGAGGTTAGATGCCGAGGAAGGATGGCTAAATCTGGGCCAAAGCCTGGGGTTTTCCACTCAAGTTTTTCGTCTTGGAGGTATCTATGGTCCTGGAAGAAGGTTGTAATCAGCATCTCTATATGCCATATTTGTTTGTGCTGACCCACAGCTGCCATTGAAGAGTATCCGAATCACTTCTCTATTCCAAATTCTCACTTTTCTCTTCGAGAATAAGATGCCTACGCTAATTAACCCCAACGTTGAGTGCTAGCAACATCCCTTTATTATTAGGAGCGAGAGGTGTTAATATATCACTTTGTTTTTTTATTCCCCGGGTGAAACCATGCACTTCTTTTTGGTTAGCTGGTAGTTAACTGTTAATATTTAACTGCTAAATATGGTGTGGTGCGGCTAAGTTGGAAACAAATTTTGGCAGCGCTGTCGATACAATAATTAAGCAAGAGCCACAGTCAGAAGGTCAGAAGATGAGAAAATCGAGGCAATACACTTCCAGAGTTCATGTTGAGGACATTTGTCAAGCACTCAAGGCTAGTATTTACACGCCATCCTCCAGGTGGGCATTTATAAAAATAATTCTTTTATCCAGTTCCTCGCTCATAATTCATTAGATTTGTGATAGAGCAAGTCTGCCACATTGAAAGTAAAACCCCTAACTTAAAGCTAACCTTCAAAAAACTATGATATATCCTTTTAGGTATGCCATGTGCTCAATGAACCCTATGTCATTTTACCAGTGTTTATCAATCTCTCTGTTTAACTCCAGGAATTTAATTTTTTTGTTGGTTTTCTGAAGTGCATCTAGATTCCACTGAATCTCCCTTTTTCAGGGGAATTTACAATATTGTGGATGATGACCCCGCTCCACGTGAAGAGGTGTTTACATATGCAGAGGACTTGATCAAGAAGAAGTGGCCAGGCCACACTAAATGGAGCTCTAATTCTGCTAGTGCTGCATCACCTACGAAGAAGGATAATTCAAGAGGAGATAAACGGGTTTCCAATATGCGTATGAAGAGAGAACTAGGAGTGAGGCTTCTCCATCCAAGTTACAGATCAGGATTGCTAAGTATTATTGATCAAATGGAAAACCCATTTCACTGTAGTCCATGAATTTTGTGAGTCACAATGTTGTTGATATCCGAAACTGAAAGGAGCACAGGTTATAGTCAGAAAGGCTGTGTGAGGAAGTATATTTGTTCTTTGTATCAGCTCATGTTTTGCGTCAATAAAGAGTGAACAACACTCGTGGAGCGTCCAATCATTAGTTGATCTTCTTGGTGCTCCGGACCATTTGACAGCCAAATTATAAGGGAACTGATTGCGATCTTTTAATGTTTCCGGTGCATAATCATTTGGAATGTTGAGTTCTGATCAAAATACATATTAAGGTTTTTTAGAGTTATTATTTTGGGATCAGAAAATGAATAGATCCATGTCGCAGGTCGTTCTTCTTTGCGAATAATTTGGTTATGACGGTATCAGGAAGGGGAACCAGACAAGGAATATTCTTCAATTAAATCATATCCCAGACTATTGGACGTCAGGATGGCCGAGTGGTCTACGGCGCCAGACTCAAGTTCTGGTCCTCGTGAGAGGGCGTGGGTTCAAATCCCACTTCTGACAATCTCCCTTCCCTTCTTTTTCTTCTATATTTTTTATTTTTGCTGAAAAAATGATAAAAATTCCGTTGCCGGGAATCGAACCCGGGTCTCCTGGGTGAAAGCCAGATATCCTAACCGCTGGACGACAACGGAAGCTTTTCTCTAGCCAGCTCAGTAATATACAATACCTAATAAATACAGAATTCACACTGGCTTTCGCTGCAACTTCGGGCATTCACTGCAATTTAATTAACCTCCGTGAAACAAGATTGGTGCTACATTTTTTAGTAATGATTTGCATGAAGAATTTTTAAACGAAGGATACGCGATAAATAAATGACCAGACAGTTGTGTTGAATTATGTAAGAATTATTAATTATATCAAGCATCACTCTCTTTCAACCTTTTAAAAATGATTTAATAAAACTATGAGTTACTTCTTGTTTAATCAAGCTTTAAATTTATTTTTTGAAGAACACTCCAGTTTGAGTATTACAAGTTTAATCAAGTTTTAATTCTATTTTTTGAAAAACACTCCAGTTTGAGTATTACAAGTTTTACTGAAGATTTTTATAGTCATTAACTTTAAAATCTATAAAATTTAACATAATATGCCCATATTAATCTGGACACCAATATTAATAAAAAAAAAACAGTTTAATAAATTCACAGGTAATTCCAGAAGTCCAGAGCAATACATTCATAATTTCCCTGATAATATCAACCTTGATGATTAGTGTCAAATGAGTAAAATTAATTTATACTCCACTTAATATCAACTATTTCATACCGAAAATTAAACTGGGAAGACATCAATAAACCTTTTAAGCCCTTTCCACGGATCTTTCCAAAATTGATACCCAAAATCAATCGCCTATCATTCACATTTCGCTGCTGGGAGGCGCATTGCGTTCATGGGTGGTCTCTTAGCCACTTCTGCGCAGCACCTTCACACGATAGAATTCTCAACTACTGCATTATTAAACCAAAGGCAGACAACAGTGGGAAAGACACCCATCGTGCACGAGAGAGACATTTTCTTAGCATTGATTAATAGAATACAAAAGTACAGAACATTGTCAAAATTCAGTCCAGCCCATGGATAGCAAAATCAAGGGCTTTGGAGATCAGGCGGATAATTCCTAGACTACGCCTGTAAATGGATTTATCTGAAACCTATTTTCCTTTTTTTTAGAAAACTAAAACTGAAGTGAGGCCGAGTGAGGGGGGACAGATTTTCGATAGGCAAACAAAGAGTTAACGGAAAGAATGCGCTCACGGCCTGAGTTGAATCACAGCCCTCTCCTTCGATCCTACATGATAATCACATCTCCAGCTTTTACGGAGAACTGGGAAAAAAAAAAATATATATATATATATACACATGATAATCACATCTCCAGCTTTTACGGAGAACTGGGAAAAAAAGAAGATATATATATATAAAGAAAAAGGGAGAGGCAGGAAACTTTACTTGTTAGCAAAGATGGACTATTTTATAAAAGAAACTCATGGCGTACTAGCATGGCAGCTGAAAAAATGAGTTAAAAATTCTCACCTCAGACTAGTCAAGTCAATCTTTGCCATGTCTTGCCCAAAACCCTTTTTTCTCTGAAAGGGTTCTACTCCATTTGGACCTAAATGAAAAGCGTCGTCTCAAGAAAGGCTTCAAGGAGGAGCTTGCTACACTAGAACTGGGATCCATCTTTGCAGCTTCTCTGTCTTTCATGGCATTCTTCTGTTGATAAAAATCATCAGAATCGCTATCAAGGTAACTATCAATGACTCGGTTTCTTGATATCTTAAGGCTTTTTGCTTTTAATTCTGCTTCAGTTCTCAAAGCTTTTTTGGACATCTTCAAAATTTGCTTCTCTCCTCCCTCACATATTGGGCATGCGGGATCATGCTTGTCGACCTCCAGAGTTGTAGCCTCCAAGCACTCTGCATGGTATACATGCCCACATGGCAGCACAGAAACCACTGGGAAGTCATTGGTGCTGATGATTCTCTGGCTGCTCCACACAGATTTCTCAGTCAAGAACTTTGAGCAAGCTCCACAAGTTTGCAGATCTAAGGAGGGAGAACACGAGAACCTGCTGCTACATCCACTTATTTTTCCAAAGCCAGAGCCAAAGTGCTCACTGTCAAAAGACCACCTCCCCCTTTGTGAAGAGGCTACAAGTTCAGAAAAGGTTCTCATGGACCACCCATCAGAAGACCCACCATGGGATCCCATTGTTAAGTCATGGCTGCAAGTGGAGAGTACAAATGATGACCTTCCTTCAGACAAAGAACAGTTATTTGGTGATTTTAATCCCAGGATTTTACTATCAGAAACCTGTCTTAATAACCGGTGCCCAGGTGAGCGGCGAGCCTGTCTAGATGGGGTTGAGTTAGGAGGATGAGGATGACCACAGGTTGGTAAAGGATCAGTAGTAGGTATTGAAAATGATGAATGTACAGAATATGAAATCTTTGGTAATGGCAAGTCTGCAATATCAGGTGATTCCGCCAAGCTCTTCGCCTGAAATAAAATTAAAACATTAAGCAATCAGCAGGGATACATAAACAAAAAGCATCCTCATACTAATTTTGCATCTCTATTGGTTCAAACTCACCCCCATAGGGTAATTGCTTTCCGTGGATAGATCTGCACCAAGAAAATGAAAGTGTCAAAATACACCACCTCAAAGGCAAGCAGGAAAAGAACACAGTCCCAAAAACTGTTATACTTGCAGCAATGCGCAAGAAAAAAGAAGTAAACAAGTAGATGGAATTCCATCACAGCATTGCTAAAACTGAAGTCCATTAACAGCAAACAGCAGGTGGATCTGCCAATGCAGGGATGAATTGACAGTTTCTGTGCCCTACTAGTAAGATATCAATTTACCCAAAAATAGCAGAGTTTACATGGACTCGAAACTTGATTCCAAAAATCAGCTAAAGAAAATGTTGAGTGCAGGTGCTACAAAGCAATTAGAAGTAAAGAAATATATAATGAGATTGAAAACCATAAATGTCAGAAGTACATTATGGAGATCAGCAGCTAAAACTTGAATACGATGCAGATAGAGGTGGTCGGGGATGTCTAAATTTTCCACTTTTTTGACATGATTGGCTAGCACTGTCAGACTCCTTTTTTTCCGTGAATAGGAGGGAAGTGCTTAAGAATTCAAGATCCTATTGCTTAGCAAATGAAATAGGTCACTTTTTTTTCTGTTCAAATCAAAGTGCACACGTGGATTTCTGGAACAATTTGGCACACGGATTAGAATGGAACTTCAGCTTTGAAAAAGAATTTATTTTCACCTAAAAGAAGATCAAACAAAACAAGCACAAAATAGCAAACCTTTACCTGAAGGTTGAGCCGTAAGGACCACACCCATTCCTTCATGAACCGGCGATTTCAGAGATATAGGTGTTCCAAAACTCTCGAGCGGGCTCAAACCATCTGAAAGATTACCCCCATCGGAACCTAAAGTCCCCTTCATCTCCACACTAACATCTCTACTGACTCCACACGACATTTGACATGAAAAATCCTCAATTTCACCAGCCACACGCCTTCGGTTGTCCCAACGAAAACTCAAGGTTGGGGAACATCCGGAATTCCTATGCAATGCTTGACATCCAGTTGTGCTGGGGCAATCTTTATCTCTTGCAGCTACACAACAAGCTGCTCCCATGTTCACAGTATCACAGAGACTATCTAACTCCCCGGAAAAAGCAAACCTTGAATAGAAGCTTAGAGCAGAAAAGAACCGCTAGAATTCCTGTTAGAAAAACATGCGCACTTATCATCAAAATCTACTAATCCCAAATCAATTAAAAATCAGAAATAAATAATCAAATACCAACCTCAAGCCATGCCTCTACATGGAGAGTCACGCTACCACAAATCAAAGCCATAGATATTCATTCACGATTCCATAACCCAAAGCATATTAAAACATAAATTTCCAAACAAACAAACATTCAAAATCATACACTAAAAACACATTTCAGCCTTGAAAACACATAGAAGGATTACTCGTCCATTTCATATAATAAATGTCTCTGAATTAATTAATTACTTACAGGTCCATTAAGCAATTCCACACATTACAATATTCAACAAACAGATCACTTTCTGCCTAAATCCGCAAGATAAACTATTTTTCATCATTATTTCGAAAAAAATCAGGAAACTACTGCTAGTTAACTCCCTATTTCCTCGAAATAAATAAACATAACTATCCTTTTCAAAATCATAATACACCCAGACACACTGCGCAGGCAAGCGGAGAGCCAGAACATGAAATTTAATGGATTAAAACTATAAAAATAAACGAAAAATACAACACAGAAAATCCAAAAAAATCAACTCGCTAAATCCGAATCTGAAAAGAACTAGGGTTTATGAACTGTTTTGTTTAAGGAACAAAAACCAGCTAATCACAATAAATGATAGAAGGAAGGAATCCTAACCGGAAGTTATCGATGCGGAAAAAGCTTCGCCGTATTCTCCTTCACAGTGCCGGTCAAGTGAGAGGGAGAGTGATGAGAGAAGGGGAGAAGAACAAGGAGAAAAAAGAAGAGGAATTATAAGATGCTCTGTGTTACCGATGTATGAAATTAATTAACGGCGTGAAACAGTGGTCTTATGCTTCGTTTGGTTTCCGGCGGGGAAGGAAGAGGCGTTGAATAACAGTGTTAAAGAACGGAAATGATGTGCGAGCAAGTGAGGGTGACCGAATTATAGCGAAGTCAGTATGGGGAATTGAGCCACGTATGATGTTTGTTCACTTTTTTGGTGGTGTACTTATGAAGGGTGAAACAGTAAATATAGATAAAGGGAGACTTTTGTGCTTTTGCTTTCCTCTGTACCACGCAGTGTGCGCACTACGTGTTCTGGTTGCTGTTTGGTATTTTATGAAAAATTGATTTGAAAAAAAATATTTTAAAAGTTTTAAAAATTGTTTTAATATATTGATATTAAAAAAATAAAAAATATATTATTTTAATATATTTTTAAATAAAATA